CTCCTCCTCATCCTCCTCCTCCTCCTCCTCCTTGTTCTTAGTCTCACTCCATATCTCCTCCCACCCATCTACTCCCCCTATCTCTTCCCTCCCTCCCCCATCCCTCCCGAATCACTCCCCTAACTCTCTCCATCTCCTCCCCAGCTCCTCACCACCAACGAATGTGCCAGCAACCCTTGCCTCAATGGCGGTACCTGTGTCGACATGTTCAGCGGCTACTTCTGCAGATGTCCCGCCAACTGGCAGGTAGGCTTCAAACCTCTTCCTTCTGGGACATACTTTTTTTTTTTACTTTACTTTATCCGTCGTCTTGTACCCTTTGGGTGTCGCGGGAAGAAAGAGACGTCTCTCTGCCACCAGCCGGAGAGCTTGGGTCAGGGGGACGCCATGAGTTGTTAGAGTTTCCCTGGGTCCATCTATCCAGATCTTTGCCGGTCGCCCTCTAGCCTTGTTGCCATTGATTGTTTTTATGTAGGCACGTTGTGCCGGATGGTGTTTTTGGTAATCGCAGGACATACACACCCTCTAAATCTACATTACTTTAGCCTACGTTTACTTGTTCTTCCTCTGTTGCATTAAGCGTCGAGGGGAGATTCAGTTTTCTATGGTAGGACAACTCTGCAGCTCTTTCATCAATTTGGAAATTATAATTTCTCAGGGTTTCTTTGACTCCCTCAATCCATCTTTTGCCCTCTAAATCAGGGGGCTGAAATGTGCAGCCCGCGGGCCAATTGAAGCCAGCAGGGATATAAAAAAAACATGATTTTGTGGCCCCTACTTGACATCAAAGTAGTCCTGTTGTGCGTATGCGTGAGTGCACTTAACCTTTGTAACATCTACTGCCATTGTAAACGACCAAGACAAAGGTCTCCCTTCGAGATGAATAAACATTGTCATTATAACTGCCAGTGTCATATTTTCATTGAGAACCTCCGTTTGACAGGCCACAAGGTGAACCTGTAATATTATGGCTTTCTCTCCCCGTACCCTACACCCACCAACCCCAACCCCCCTCCCAGGGCCCCCGCTGTACACAAGACGTGAACGAGTGTAGCGCCTATGCCGGAACAGACATGGGTTGCCAGAATGGCGCCACTTGTGTCAACACTCCTGGCAGCTTCCGGTAGGTTTCATTGCTTGTTTTATAATATAATA